ATATATATATATATATATACACATGTATATTATATATTTAAGTCTATATATTAAATTCTATCGTATTTATATTACTAATCTAATAATAATATTATAATATATACACACATATATATTATATTTTTATTATTATTAGATTAATCGAAAAATTCGTTCATTATTTCTTCTCTATATGGCTCCTTATACTAATAAACAAAAAAGCGAAATGAACGAACTCTTCGATTGATATTCGTGATATTTATATAAAGTTTTAATATTTTACACACTCTGCTTTCAGGCTAACAAAAGTTTTGTGATCATCTAATGTATTATAAAATACAGAATCCTCCCTTCCCGTTTGTATGAGTGTAAGCTTTCCATAGATGGCAAAGAAAAGACGCGCTGAGACGAGATGAGAAAGGAATTAATTAAAACGAAAAATCAATGAATTTGTTTATTAATAATAGTAATGATAAATAATCAACAATATATCTATTTTGAAGAAGTGGATATTCGATACTCGTATTAAGATTTATTGCCTATTTTACACCTAAATTCCTGATTGATTTCTTCTCTGGATTCGGTGTTCCTTTCGATAGTTTTTTAACAATCGAAAGAAACGGAGAGTCTAGATGTATCAATTGCACTTTCATATACTTCATTTCAAAATAAAACGAATATATATATATATATGTATATATCTAGGCTTCAAAGAAAAATGGAAAAAACGAAGTGTAGAAGATGCAATTGAAACGAACAAACTTAGATGACAGATACCGGTGTACTTTCGTCGAGTTTAAATTTCGATTATATCAGAATCTCTTTCGTACAAAAAACATTTCGTATTATATATTAACGTAATAACATAAAGACGATTATGAGCTTTAGCATTATGCCAGTCATCTCTTTTAAAAGAATATTGTATAAATGCACCATTCAAAACAATTAGAAAATAATTACTTTAAAATATGTACAACTAATTAACAAACTATTTAATATTTTTAAAATTGCTTCTGACATCTAAATTGGTTCTTTAATTTGTTTTTCCAGAATGTACTTATTTTGCGCAATATTTTAATTTTTATATTCTTAGAACTTATAATAGTATTTGTTTCTAATTGTACAGAACAGTGTAAATTCAAATTTCTACATGGCGAGAATGTGAATTTTACTTTTTCTATCATCAGTACATTTTTATACAAAGCATATTTTTCTTGTTTTCAAAACCGGAAGACACATTCCGAACAACGGATTCTACGTATTCTTTCCGTAAAATTAGAGAAGAATTGACAATGATATCGTTTAAAATCAAACACGGGCTGTAGCACTAATCAAAAAGAAAGAATTCATGATTAAAAAAAGTTAATTTAATATCTTCAACGTCGATAAAACTCTAATTTGAACATCAACGTCTTTAATTCTTATACTCACTCTTTCTTCATATTTTTTACGTTTTGTTTCTCTTGGAAGAAGACTCGAACTGGTTGAATATTATCTTTTGCAACGCAATGATATGCAATATATGTTAAAATAAGATAACTAGACTGTCCCGGAACGCAGTTGCGGGGAATATTGATTTATTTTAAAATTCTTAGATTCAGAGAATCATACAGTTATATTATTAATTTTCCGCTGCTTGTACAGAAACTATATTATGCATCGTTAAAAATCATTAACAAATAATTTAACTTTTGAATCTTGTAACAATTAATACGTTGGAAAGTTGTTGGCAATAGCAACTTAATAATAAATATACATTTTTGAATTATGTATAAAGATCATTTATCTTTATTATTTTATATATACATCAATTATTTATTTCATTTTTTTAAATCATATTTTTAGAAAATCGAAATTACATGTTATAAACCTTTTCAAAATTCTTGCAATATGAGAAGCGCGTGTCTTCTTAATCTAACAATAAGTTTACGTTCTTATCACACGTTCCTTCGTTTAAAGAACTTGAATTTTCGATCGTTTCCCGCGTAACTGATTCCGGGGACATGTATAATGCACAAAAAGCTTTTTATTTATTATCGAAGGATTTTTGTTAATATGTCAAAACGTCCATTCGCCATGTATGATGTGTCATCAGCTTAAAAGTATTACAAATCGCTCTGAGTCAAATCGACTGAGTCGATCAGAAGTTCGTCATCAAAATTTAAAAAAAAAGGGGGGGGGGGGAGGAAGAAACGAATTTGGAAAGCTGAGAATCCGGAAAAAATCATAGTGTTGCGACAGTGTTTAGGGATAACAATTTTAAGGGCCGAGGCGCGCGCGATGTAGGCATTAATTAATGTCTTTTCGCTAAATGCTCCGGCAAGAAACGCGAATTTGTTAGTTAACATTCTCCTCAGTTACAACAACGCGTCTTGGTCTGCGGCAAGTCAATCAGTTTTCATGTCCGAGACACTTTTGTACATACTAAACATATTTCAAGTATCTTTCTCTCTCTCTCTCTTTCTCTCTCTCTGTGTTTAGTTATTAATAGTTATTAACGGAAGAAATCCGTTAGAAATCTGAACACAAAATAAAGAGTATCCCTTCCATGATCATTTACCTACAAGATGACATCAGTCAAAATAAAAATGCGGACATTAATTTTATTGATATTATCACTCAATATCCATATCCATTGTTATATTGTTCTGTAATATGCGACATCTACAGTTTGACTGAAATCTCGAAGAAATTCAGTTTAACTGAAAACTCATATTATGAATCGAGAATACGACAGTCCATTTCCAAGTTTTGCTTTCCTTTTCCAAAACCAACCTCGCAATAACGTTTGCCGTGTACAATTTAAAACCGGTATAATTTCAGTGAGTACAATTTTCCAGAATTGAGAAAGGATTTTTGAGAGAAAATGTTATCATTTCATCTATTCACAAATGTAGCGATCGCTAAATTTTAAATTATACCGGTTTCGATTTTTGCCTTCGCATTCTATCGATAAAATGATGATATTAGATGCTAAATTACGCAATTATCTTCAATTTTCCTTCAACTAGTGACGCGTTTAGCAATTATCAGTTGTTAGAGAAGGAACGATTCCTTATATATATGCTAAATTATGTCGATAGTACGATAACCTTTTTCCAATCGTCATCGATGTTTCTCTCAACCGATTTTGCGATGCATCAATAAATTACTAGACATTTGATTACACATTGTTTTACTTTGTTTTTAACTTGAATCGTGCTTAGCAATCGTCGATTAAAGAGGAACCAGTTATATGTACATTTAGTATGTACACTTAAGTCGATTCAGCAATAAATTTGTTCTTGCTGTCGAATTGCTTTAACAGTACGATGGTCTTCTTTCAATATCTATATACTTTTTCAAATCAATGATGCAGATATTCTCTGCATCTCTGTCTAGAAATATCTAGACATAATCAAATATAATTACAGTCGAATATCCGTGTAATCAACAGAACTGTGAATCAATTAAACTGTTCTTTAAAGAAAATTTTCATTTCTGCTATTCACGTATGCTATGATCATATTAGAATGAAAAACCGAGTAAGACATTTTCATTCAATATAGGATGTCTAGTAATTATCATGCCATTTCTCGTAGGTAAATAAAGTGAATTAAACTAAAATAGAAAAATTCTTTATTATTTTGCGAGTTTCTCAATAATTAATGAAATATTAATTAATAAAGATGAACGTTTGCAAATCTTTATTAATTAATTTCTCATTAATTATCGAGAAACTCGCAAAATGGTAAGACTTTTTTCAGTTTACCTTACCCGCTCGCGAAACATGACACGGTAATTACCAGACACCTTGTATATCATTAAAATTCGACTGAAGGAAAAAGCAATTTTTTTAGTCCTGACAAGATCACAGGTATTCGACTGCATTTTAACTCAATTAGGATCGCGCATTTAATCGTTATCAATTAACACATTGACTGCTATATCACTTATATATGAGTGACATTCCATTTCATGAAAAATTTCCAGGAAACCAAGCACGTTTCCTTCATCGCTTTCTTTATCAAAGAATATCATTGCACAGCGGGCCTCCTAAGTAAGAATTTAATATCACTCGTATTTGAATGAACAGAAACAAACATTCACATATATGTAGATGACATATAACATAGCAATCGATGTGTTAAAAGGGGATTTTATTATATATATGTATGTATGTGTATATATATATATATATATATATACACACATACATACATAGAATATAATTAAGCTTGTCAAATTGCGTCGTTCTAAGTCTACAAAAGACCAACATTTTTATCATCGGCGTTCACAATCTCCTCAAAAGTCAATATTTTTGTCGAGCTTCGACTTCGCAGTGTCTTAAAATATAAAATAATGGCGACGCGCAAACACGACATTACTAGACGCATTAGATTATACATCCTCTTAGTTTACCTTTAATTAGAGTAAACGCATTTAGCAGTATTTAAAGTTAAAGGAGACAAGTTCCTACACATATATATACATTGAATTCGATTTGACAACAACGAAGCGTAATCAAGACTCCTAGCAGCCACATTGGTTTATATGTCAGAAATAAAGAATACCATAAATTTCTTTTCTCGCGTATGCACAATGAGGTAAATTAGCTTCTCACATACTACAATTCGCAGTTGATAGAATAAATTCGCATAATAATTCCGAAATTTTTTTCCACATGGATAAATTGATATTAGATGATCTATACATGTCTTATATGAATTTTGTAAAAGATCTAGCTTCACGAATATTCATTAAGAATTCTTAGCGTGTTCAGTAAATTTATTCTATCAAATAAATTGTAACATCTGAAAAAACGTGGTCTATGTTAGAGCCACTTTCATCAATCTTCGATTAACTTAACCGATTAACAGTAGTTTCAAGAACTTATATAACGAGGTATGTTCTCAAAATTGCTGTTAATTTTAACCGTCGATAAATTTAACCAAAGATTGATGAAAATGGTATTTCCTCAATGTGTAAAATCTTTTTTGATATTATATGCTTACACAGTAGGCCCGAACTCCCTTTCTGGAAAGAGAAACGAATTTCGCAGCACCGCCTGACTCCGCTCTCTAAAATCGGCGAATCAAAATGAGTCATTTGACGAGAAATAGAATGTTACTTTGTATTAGAATCTACTGGATGTAATAAATGAAACTTGCACATTTTCCATCTAAGCATGCATATATGTTAAAGAAAGAGCGCGATTTTTTCGGTGTATTTATCTTCGTTGATTCTGTGTCAGTTTGGACACAACCTCACGATATCCTTCCTCCTCTTATTTTTTGAACAGAGAAGATGACACCTTCCAAGATTTCCGTTTTCATTGTAAATTGTGTACAGTACTTAATCTGAACGAGCAATTTATATATGTTACATTTATGTAAAAACTATACACATACATACACATATATATTCATATTTCTATATATTTCATGCAATAGTAAAATTAATATAATTTTCCTATTTGTCCTGTTGCTAATAGTTTGCCAGAAATGTCTTTGTGAAATGTTACATTATATAGATTATAGTTCCGCGAATTAAACGTTTTTATTTCGGAATTTATTGTTTTGCGAGTTTTTCAATAATTAATGAAATAATTAATAAAGATAAGCACAAATCTATATGCATGTCCCATAAGAATAGCGATTTTATCGTTAAAAGGATCAGGAAATAGATGGAAAATAAACAAATCTTGAAGTAGAAGAATCTTGGTTATTCTAATTAAAAAAAAAATCTTTCAATCAGCCATCTTAGGCCAACAAAAAAGTCAGTAGGTAATAAAAGGAGCAAGTTGACGGTGCTCTGCCTCCGTCCTCCGAATCGAACTTCCGTCTTCGTTAAGATAAAGGGAGTCAGGGTCTCCTGGTCATCGAATGTGCATATGGAAACGAGCTAAGAGCCTTAATTCCACCGAATCGCGTCGCTGTACTACACTATACTTCTCGCTAGAGAGAAGATGAAAACCTTACACCTATATATACTCCGCAATGCGCGTATATCGCATTTACAACGTGGACATCCTCGTCAGAAGATGGTTACTTCGTCATGCCATTGTAACAACGTCATAACCCAACTCTTTAATAACGTTAAAAAGGAAAAGAAAAATAGAAGATAGAATAAAGCGATTCAAGCCATATTCGATTGGCTGGGGTCAGTGTTTTGCGTGTTGGTAGCGGTGGTGTTAGTGGTGGTGTTGGGATTGTTGGCGCTATTATCACTAGAATTACCGCTAGCACTGGCGGCGGCGCCCGTGGCGTCCGCCTGGCCGCCACCTCCGCCCCCGCCGCCGCCCCCGCCGGGATTCCCCTCCGTACCGGTGGTGGCGGCGGCCGATTGCATGTACTTGGGTATCAGCATGCTGTTGAGGATCGGCTGGATTCGCAGCTCGTGCTCGGTGAAGTTGAAGAGTGGCGGCAATTCACGGCCGCTCGGCAACCGCGTGCCCTGTTCGCGCAATTCATTGAAGAATGAATGCGCGCACGCTTGCAGCGGCGTCATTCGCAGCGACGGTGTGTATTCCAGTAGCCGTGCCACCAGGTCCATCGCTTCCGGCGGCGTGCGCGCCCTGAACACCTGCAATCACCATCGAAACTCATGACAACAAAACTCTGATTATCCTCAGATCTCGCTCTTTCTCATTGCTAAATGTACCCATTAAAATATTCCTTGGATGACGAGTAAATATTATAACGGTATTCCGATCGCACACATTTTATTAGAGGTAGACTGTCAGTCTTCGTGTTTGAATAACTGACTTTACGAAAATCCTATTCTGCTAAATTTCTAGTACTCTTGTATCCGTAAGAACGGCGTGCTGTGTGTTCGATGAATGTAAAGTATTTTATAAATTTAATTAATTCCAGCGACGTTATATGATTACTTTCATTGATGAAATCGATATACATCGAGTTTCTGTGATGAATAGAGATTACTTATCAGTAACATTTAGATAACTCTGATATTTCTTTGATCTTTTAAAATGCAAACGACATAAATAATGTGTAAAAAGTACATATCTTAATAAGATAAAATGAGTAAGTAATTAGGAAAGTTTATTAGCAGTGGCCAATTGTACAATATTACCATAAATAGACAAGAATAGACTATGCATTCTTATGCAACAATTAACGACAACGTTGAAGGACAGAGATATGCAAAATTAGATATTTCCTCCGTATTGCGTATTACATTGTGTTATGTACTTCTGTGAGAATAAGACTTTATTTAGTGTTATACTAAATGCTTTGCTCCTTCGTAATCAGTGGTGCAAACGTGCCAATAGAAGAACAATGAGAATACGGATCAAAGCGCTTTATATTCGCTTTGATATTTTCTGTATTGTCTTCAAAGGTCGAATATATATCACATTGTGGAGAATTGTAGAAGATTGAAGGTTGTACGAACAATTAATAGCAAGAATAGTTAGTGACATGTAAACTCTCAGTTTTAAATCTCAGTAGGTATCGTAAATTTTTTTGGATCATGAGATCTATAAAATCCCATTTAAGAAAATTAAATATTGATTCCAAGCACTACTCTCTGCACGATGGACATGGAAGATTGCGATATGTTATTGAAAAATTCACAATGAGATGATTTTAGTCCACTATGTATACAAAATCTAAGTTCTTACATTTCATTTTATGGCGTCTAACCCTAGGACTATACCTGGGTTTGCTCAACAAAAATTTCAGCTTATATTTTTCAAAATTTCTTGCTTTTTAAACGTTTGCAATCTTTTTACAATCTAGCAAGCACACTTAAATGTTGATTTTATAATTTTATTATATATATATATATATATATATAATTAATGTTACTTTTCTGTAAAAATTAATTGAAAAATATGTATTTAAATCAGAGAGTTGCGTAAAAGTAATAGATTACATCTGATATATCCAGTATGTCGTTTGCGTATACAAAAATACGATACGTAGTCCTAAGGTCAGAAAACGTGATTTGATACCTGCTGAGAACTGAAAATAAGATAATCATACTTTGTATCGACATGAGTATGGATAAGGAAAACATCAATGTTTATCACATTAATATTATCACTAAAAACTTATCTATCTATATTCGAAAATCATCCATTGTAAAACATCAAATGTTTTGTGTTCATCTCTTATTTGTACAATTTACAGCATGGTACTGTACATTCTTATTAAGAAAACAGATATCTAAGAAAAAATATAGAAGAAAAATGTCTGTAAATAGTCTGAAAATTTACACTATGTGCTTATATATGCAACTCTTTTTATATATTTTTTCTTTTGTTTAGATATACATGTCAGCATAATGTTGGAATAAGTACGATGCAAGTGTGAATATATGTACATCTAAGATGAACACAGACTCCAAGCACTATTCTTTGCGCAATAGACACGAAAGGCTACACAGTATGTTATTCATTTTTTCAAGTTTTTTTTTCAAATGCAATCTCAAATATCACCAGAATATCAGAGTAAGTGATACTCTCAATTATTTTCAGAGTAAGTGATACTCTTAATTATTTTCAGTCGTCATAACAAATGTAAAATGTAAGAAGTCGCGTGTAAAAAATTATTAGTGTCGTTAACAGATGAGACTAGGCAATGAGGAGTTACATGAAGAAGATATCTGATCATGAAGAAAATCTTGAAGAGGACTGTTCTTTCCTTTATACTCCTATTCTTTAATGACTAAAATAAAATCGGGAATAAGTCTGCACGCTCGTCCGGAACGTCGAAATGGAAGTTTAGATGTTATTTTTTAATGTTAGTACAACGGGCCAAGATAGAGAAAGTTTGTGCCAGCCATATTGAACAACACTTGTTGCAAGTCGAATCACTTACTCTAATCTTCTGGTGCTCCATGGAACACAAAGATGTTTCACTCATTCGTTGAAGCATATACTGTAAATCACGAGTACATGTAGTGATGAATGGCAATCGATTGAAGCCGCTATTGCTATTGCCATCGATCGTATTGTAAACACGAAAAAAAATTATCTCTCCCTTTATGCCGAAAGTGCATGTTTAATAATTCATCATGCAACGTTACATCAAATTCGACTTTACCTTTTCCTTTAACTTGAAAAATTAACTGAAAAACTTGTTTTTTATTTCATTATTACCTGTCTAAAAAAGGCATATTTTTAAATTTGCGTTTTAAAATATTGTGTATATTTTGAAGATAAAGACATTCGAAATAGTATTAAAATTATGAATTTAAAAACATGTGGGTTTTTCAATTATTTATAACAAATTATAAAGTTAATAGACATATGTATGAAAACAAGACGGAGACAATCACATGTTGAAGAAGTACATGGAATATGCCGCTGGAGTTTGTACACGTATAAATATATATTAATAACAAGTTACGTAAAAAGTTATATTAAAATGAAAATAGTACTCTACCTTTTGCCAGGGATGCGACTTAATTTGTGGAAATTTAAATTCGGTGTAGTTGGGGTTCATCTCACGTATCTGATCGCGCGTAGGCGTACCGAGGACTTTGATAATCTCTACCAGCTGATCAACACCACTATCGCCGGGAAATATCGGTTGACCTAGCAGCAGTTCCGCTAGCACGCAACCTGCACTCCAAACATCTGTCGCGAAAATGGGAAAAACGTTACATTAAGAATTACGTTAGGGCCTTCCGTAGGCCCATTCGTTTTATAACTACTACATTAAGAATTACTACAAAATATAATACAATATAAAAAAAATATTTAAAAATTCAATAATATATTTTTATTATATCATGCTTTCTATTACAACGTTTTTTTAATGTCTTATCAAGAGGTTTTATATATCTATCAATGGATCGATAATTTTTATGAAAATATATTCAAATTGGAACAAAAAGAAACAAATAGGTCAATAACGAATTCCATTCAAACTTAATATGTGATATTAAACAAAGTTTTATTAAGATTTTAAGCATACCAATTTTTGTAGTATAGTCGATAGCACCAAAGATGAGCTCAGGTGCGCGATAGTAGCGACTGCAAATGTAGGACACATTCGGTTCGCCCTTCACAAGGTGTTTAGCTGAACCGAAATCGCATAGCTTCAGGACACCAGTATCCGGATCTAGAAGCAAATTCTGCGGCTTGATATCCCTGTGACAGATGCCCAGCGAGTGGATGTACGCCAACGAACGGAACAGTTGATACATATACAACTGCAAAGGATAGAGAAAAGTAAAGATTATCTTCTATACTATTATATTTAATATTTATATCGGCATTAATAATAATAAATAAAAATCGATATATGAATAACACACATAAGCGAAGAGAGGCCTTATTCGATCAAAGCGAATCTCGGTGCCTAATAATAATATTTGCTTGAATTTCCAGTGCAAACTGCGCGCCGGTTATTTGTCTTTGAACATAGTTTTGAAACACAGTCCTAAACTGAAGCTGAAGTAACACTGTTATATCTGATTAAGTTTACAAAACATATTTTCTTATGAACAAATCTTTATTAAAATTATCTTCAATAAAATAATCTTTAATAAAATTTTTTCAGATTTTTTTTACGTACAAGTATTTCTAGATTTGTGAAATGTCTAATTACAAATCTTAAATTAGAATAATTTAAAATAATGAATTGCGTTGATACCTATAAATCTTGTAATTTTTAATCTCATAATTAGTGACCTCAAAAATTCTTAGATACTGCGTATTGCGTGAATTAAAAGAATGTTTCTTTTTTTACAAATCGGTGATACTGTAATATTTATGTGATCTTTTCAAATTGAAGATTACAAAACAGCGAACGAACAGATTTACAAATATGATTTCTGTTTTTGTGTTACAATACAAGTTTAGAAATTTAACTCACCTTGATGAAACTGATTGGTATCGTCTGCTTGCTTTTGCTATAATGTCGAGCGACTTTGTACACAGTTTCGGGTATGTATTCCAGGACTAGATTAAGATAAACCTCGTCCTTCTAGAAAAAAAGAGAGAAAAAAGAAAATTCTATTGCATGTAACATTCTTTCAACAAGCGAGGATCTGTTTATTTGTCGTCTCAAAGGCACACTACTCCAAAACCAAACATTGACGACATATTCGATGTGCTATCGTCAGGAAGAAATGTAGAGTTTCCCCGCAACTCGCGTAACTTGTATTTTAATGACAAAATTTTTTTCTAATTTATCTGATAACAATTTCTTAATTACACTTACAATTTTAACTACTTCACAACTTTTCGTCAAATTTTTTTCAATTCCTCAATCTCCCTCGTTTTCAACATTGTACGTATATAAAAATGTGTAAAAATAGATCTTTCTCAATGAAATTAATTTAAAATAGATCTTTTTCAATGAAAGATTAATTTAAAATAGATCTTTCTCAATGAAAGATTAATTTAAAATTACTAGATTATAAAAATATAATTATGTAATTTATTCATTCTCATACGAAAACTCTTCTTTTCACATTATTAGGTTCTCAGAATTTACGATAAAACATACATCATCATTAAAGATCAATCAGACTTTACGAGGAATAACATAGCGAATTGTGGGATACCCCGTTGGGAGATCGTTTTTAAAAGTTATACGTTTCATTATTATTATCTCTTGGACACACACATCGATGCCCACGTGTTATTAACATGTACAATTATCACACACGCCTTCAGAAAAAAATTACGTACTACAAGACTAGCGAAGCAGCGTAATCTAATCGGACCCAGATTGACATTTTAAAAAATGACGTTTCGAAGGAATGATACGAATATGAAGATGTTGTGGCCCTATGTGGAAGCGATAATTCGCCTAGAGTTTTGTTTTTCTCGCCAAAAGAAGGATTCTCGTACAAACGACTACTGGGTGCACTTCAACTTACGTCAACGTGAAAAACCGGATTAGTCGCGGTTAAGATGTTCTATAAAATAACATAACAATGTGGCATGCATTAAATGAACATCTCACGTTTTATTTATAGGCACGTGTCATTTACGTAATAAAACCGATAACGGTACGATTGATAATTGCGCGCTAATCAATGGGAGCTATACCGATTAAAGTTACATACTTCGCGTAATTTTCTCGCGAATTTTTCTCGCTTTAAAATAAACAGATTCACAGAACTCTTAAAATAATTTTAATAACAGATCGAATTCATCTTTACTTAAAATTTAAAGAAGATGGAGATGAGATAGTTACCTTATCACCACTAGAATAAAAGAAATATTTAAGTTTCACGATATTGCAGTGCTCGAGGCGTCGCATGATTTGTAATTCCCTGTTCTGTAAAAAAATAAAATTTTATTATGACAAAATGTTGATATATTCAATGCTTGTTAAATAACTAAAATAAGAAATAAACTAAACAAGCTAAAACAAAAAGTAAAAAATGAGATAAAACACAGAATAAAATCATAAATATAGAATGAAAAGATAGGATAGAATGCAATCAAATCAAATCAAATTAAATAAAACAAAATGTAAACAACGAACTTGTAGATTCGACACACTATCTATCATAATAATTATTAATTATTAGTGATTGCCACTAAATTTTCTGCATATTTGATTTATGAAGTTCGTTAATTTTTAATTTTATTATTTATACTCTATTATTTTTATATCAGCAAATAACGACGTAAGAATGCTCACCTTAAATCGCTTGTCCTGAAGAACCTTCTTGATGGCAACCATCTCCCCCGAATCGCAGAGTTTCGCCTGATATACCACACCGAAGCTGCCGTTTCCGATGACCTTGGTATCGGTGTATGCGACCTCCTGAGGACGATCCGGGCCAGCACCGGGAGTCGCTACTACAGTCGTCACCTTGCTGCCATCCTTGCCTGCAGCAGGATACATTGCACCACCCATAGAAACAAATCGGAAAAAACCACAGTGCAAGAAAAGAAATGGAAACAAAAGTGGGAAACCGAGCTTCCTCTAAAAGCAGAAAACGCCCAGAGAGCCCTCGAGAGTCGAGGAAAGCTTGCTCCTATTTCGTAAAAACCTAAGTAAGCAAATTGTCTTTGTATCAACAATAATTATCTTGGAAAATTTACGACGAAATGCAACGTATATTGCTTTGCAAAACGTGATCTATTATAATTATATAAAGAACATTTAGATTAGATATACACGGAAAGAACAAATCTGCTGAATCCAGATCTGAAAATAATTTTTGTTCAATAATCAAAATAATTTTGTGCGAAAGTCAAAGTGATTACTAGAATATCAAAACGTTTTATAGCAATGCTTATCAGTTTTAACATTCCAACAAATTATTTTGATGATTCAACAAAAAATTATTTTCAGATCTGTTTTTAGCAAAATTTTTAGATCTTTCAACAAAATCGTTCTTCATACGTATACTCAGAATCAATCTTATTTTTATACCATTATTTTGACATGTTTCTCTTCTTTAATTTTCTCTCTGAAAGCTTTATATTTTGCAGAAATGCAAAAAAAAAGATTACGCATGTTGTTAAAGTCGCGACGAAGTCTGGAAAGTGTTATATAAATTACAACCTCTCGGATTCGCAATCGTCGCTATTTTCACGTATAGTTCTCGGACACTGGGCGACCAGGAATAGCCTAATCCTTGATTTGTTTTTGCTTTACTACTAATAGTTTCGCGTGCTATACGCGACTCGTAGAATAAATCGGCGCGTGCTGTACACAGGTTGTCCGAAGAGAACGTCGAAACTTATAATTCACAATTATCCCGCAATTTTACTAACTCCGACAATATATACTTAAAGCTTTTAAATTAAGACCCTTATATAAGTGTCGGTCCACAATAAAGAGTTTAAGCTTTACCGTAAGCTATTGACCAATTACAATCGATTATTCTCCTCATATTCGATTACGATTGGTCTATTTCTTAGGGCTTCAAATCCTCACTGTAGACCAACTAATGAAGGTTTAGGCAAATAAACCTATAACGTCTCTTTTTATTGTTCAGAAAAGGAGTAAACGCATAGGTTTACATGAAATTGCACAAATACAATTGAACTGAAGAATATTTTCTACCAACGATTATCAGAATATGCAGAGAATCTTGATGAATAAACGGTTTAAATTGTTACAAACAATAACCGGTTTGAGCTACCGTGTTGCAATGTAAATTCTCTCTCAAAAGACTTGCGCAAATGCATATTTTCATGCAGGACTTTTGCCGTCGACGATTATCATATTCCTAGTTGTTAAAGACGTCTCAACTGCGTCATACCTTTCGTCACATCTTTCGTCTCTTGTTAAAAACGGACGCGCCGGATACCCGGAGCATATAAAGGCTATTTTAATAACACATCGAGTATATCATAAGAGGTTGTTGTGATTCATAAACAAGATATATATTAAAGTAGCTCAGACTACATAGATATGGCAAAAAGTGATCGTAATGTAATTAATAAAAAATTTTATAAAACTATCGTGCTTTGATACTATCGTACAATTATTTAAAGATACTGCCTTTTAATCAATGTAATAAGAAAAGGCTAAAATATGATAAAAATATCCACTTTTCTCCTTATTTAGTAAAAAATTGGGTGACCGAATTAATTGGCAATATAATCATTTCTTTGTAATAAAAAATTAAAATTGTTTAAGATTGATGTCATAACAATAATTTTATATAATTATTTTTTAAATATATTAAGATAAGCGTTAGGTATATGATAACTCTAAAGAATGTAACAATAAAGAATGATTTGTTTAAAATTTAAATATGATAATTGCATGTACGCGGTGTAACTTCATTACTTTGCCAACAGGAAGGTTAAATAAATTTAATTTTTATGTAAAAATTATATTTTGTTATCGACAAAGAGTTAATATATCTTTGATCGAAAATCTTTTCGATTGAACGTAGAGAATCACTTGTGTTCGAATTTGAGGGTGAGGATTCCGATTTGCGAATACACCGAACGATCAGTTTCCACGTGGACGGTGTCTTGTCCTCTGACATATTCGCGACATTTTCAACCATTTCGATCAATCACAGATTGAAGATCGCAAGTAAATCATTTGTTTTGTCTACTTCGCGAGATTAAGGGTACTATTACACGAGTACGGCAAAGATTTCAAGCCTATGGGTAGTATTACACGAGTCGTTATACGATAAAAATTTCAAGACTATTAATTGGCTATAGGATAGACAGATCCGACAACTTCTCTTTCTTGCAGCCAATCAACAGACTTGAAATGCTTTGTCATACAACAAAAACGGACAAATGTAAAAATTAGCCTATTTATTGCCTCTAGGATAAAAAAATCCGACAACTTCTTGCAGCCAATCAATAAGCTTAAAATGCTTTGTTATACAACAAATGTAATATCAGCCTAATACCAATTAGATTTTGATTTCCAGTATGTGTAAAATCTTTTATAGGTAATTTATTGTATAATAAAATTCTGTTTATAATTTTATATATCAATTGTAAATATAGTAACAGAATATATAAGACAAATAAATAGAAGAAAAGAAGTTACATATATATCATTTATTAACAGCGATATTTGGCAAGCGATCTGATAGCAACCGAGTTCGTTCGAAACAACGTACGTTATATCGTACGCAGAAGATATAATTATCCACCGGAGAAGATATGAAAATCTCGTACCTGATTTATCATCGCGAGAATTGAACAGCAAGGCAAGTTTGAAAGAAATCTTGTCGCGTTCGTACGAAATGCCGCATTGGCAAGATACTGATGCGTGTCTCATCGGCCAAATTAAATCATGACGTATACAGACATCCCAGAAGCATATGTTTAGAAAAACCAAATAATATACAAGTAACAATGTAAAGATCAAACAATAAAAAAATAATGTATATTTATCATGTATATAATATAATAAAATAATTTCAGATAAGATTAAGAATTAAGATCATATAATGTATATATTTATTTTATCTTATTCATTCGTTTTTTATTATTTTTAAATGCCAATCCCATCTCTGAAGTATCTTATGTATTGTCACTTCATCTTTATAATATATTTTTGCTTTACCAAGACCTTGTTACATCTTCATCTTCCAAATATAGACCGAGATATAGTAATAAAGAATTACTTTAATTAATAGTATTATTCCAGACGTGTTTCTGTTAACAAGAAGCGGGATCTCAGAATAATTTCCGAGACTCTTGAAAGGGCCTAAAAAAAACCCTCAAGTAAACATCGCGCTTGTGAAGGAAATGGGTCAAGCGACAGTCGAGGCTAGAAAATCCAGCCGACTAGTCAGCTAGCTAGCTAAATCCAGCTTGCGACAAAAAGCGCAACGAAGCGGTGCAGCAGCTGCATCGCGAACGCTGCGGATCCTTTTATCGCGTTACGCGCGCATCGGAGGAGACTTCGACCTTTTCCGCGGCGGTGTAGCCCCTACCTGTGAAGCAAGAAAGCTTCAGAAATTATCTATATATCGGTCCTCATGGTGGCATTTCGCGCGGCTTAAGGGGGCGTCCCTTGTTATATCGAAGGTTTCTTTGTCGTCAGAGGCAATCGCGCTCGGTTTAATGAAATAGGCCGCGCAGATAATAAAAAAGGGGATTAATCAAGCCAGAAGAAAGCGGGAGAATAGGGTTCGGGGCAATCTTTTATGATTTGACCTGCTGAATGTTGCGATTTGCGCGGGATTATTCTGAGATTTTCCAATTTCATTATCAGTGCAACTGTGTTTGATTGTAAAAAAATCTATCATATAATAAATATATCAATATTATACAAAATAATTTTTTTAACTGCATAATTATTTTATAATGTATGGTAATCAAATATATAAGAAAAAGAAAATTAAATGTATTAAATTTAAAAAAAATCATCAGTAAGTAGCCAATTTTTGAATATAGTAATCGTTTTAATTTGTGTTACGCGGAATACAACAGATTTATTGTCACTTCACCATCTTACTTCGTATGACTATTCATTCAATATTTGTTTATTCGAATTTTACAATATTTAATATTTAATATTTATATTACCGTAACGGAAAGAGCCTCCCTCGGCGGTTCGCGAAAAGCAGTATCGAGGGTAACAGATACCCATCGACTTTCCCTTAAACCCTTTCGTCTCTCTCTTTCTCCTGCTTTCTCGATCTGTTCTCACTCTCGAATAGACAGAAAAACCGCATCTCACACGGTAGGTGCGACCAAGAGTAAATACGACACCGCCAAGGGGCGGTGTAAATGTCAGAGGATCACGCGCTCTCGATGCACAAAGCGGTACGTATACTTGACGACATTTATTAAACACGTCATCGTGGAAATCGGTCCATCGCTCGAACAGAAATCAGATTGCCGAGAAATCGTCCTGGAAACTGAATGATATTTTGAAACGCGTCGAGCAATAGACTTTTTTCTTGGAAGAATAAAATGAAGACGGCATCGGTTTCTTTTGATGACGTGGAGTGTACAAGAAAATCTCAGAGAAATGTCATCGAGGAAAAAATAGAACAATTTATATGTAATGATGATAAATTAAGAAAGAACTCTCTAACACACACAAATAAAAGAAACAATCAATAAATTGAGAATGACTAATTCAATTAAATTAAAAGAGTATAATTCTATAAGAAAGCCGAATTGGAGGAAAATTAAAATAAATTTTTTTCATTAGAAGCGAGCCTCTTTTTTTACGGAAATATTAATCGATATTTATAGTGTAGAAATTTTTGTGAAATTTTATACAAATTTTTATAAAGATATTGTGTATATATGTGTGTATGTGCACGCGCGTGTATGTAATTACAATAACTATTTAACAAATATTACAAATTTAGTTAATAAATTCAATTAAATGAATAATTACAAGATTTAAAAAATGGTACTGAGGTAGTAAATGTCTAATCTGCATAGATGTAAAAATAATTATATGTATAAAAAATCGAAATATACTTCCGTTTTAATAGTACAGACGATTTATTCATATTTTTGCATAAAATTATACATCTTTTACAAAAATCAATCCTCGTTTCATTCTACATAAAAAAATCGTGAAATACCAGATTTCATATTTTATCAGGAAATATCAGAATAAAATATTTTAAATACAAAACTTTTAAGCCCAGTAATTCTTCTTAATTTGCAAAATTAATTTTTTTAATCTAAACTATATAATAACATGTGTAATAAAATTTTTTATTACTAGATTATAATTAGTTAAAAATTTCAGGTTAATAAAGATTGATAGTACTGTAACGTTTCAAAATATGTGAGAATAACTTTGTAACACTTCGTATAAAGCTATAAAATTATTCCAACGCGTTTACATACGCACAAGGTACATCGATCGCTCGATAGACTTACGTTTCTTACTGCTTAGTCGACGCAAGAACTTGCAGAATTTTTTATAGGCAGTGTTGGCTTCTTTGCCACTCAGTTCCACAGCGCTCTTAGGACGCTCGTTTTTCTGTCCGGTCGCCGGCGGGCAGATTTTTGGATATCGCCACTGCTGACACGGCTCTGACCAATCGAGGTTATTTGCTGGTGCCATGATATAGAGATCGATTAATTATACTGAAATGTCCCACGATATATCACGACTATGCTTCGTTTCTGCTCCGTCTCATATTTTGAAATATCGAGACCAAAATCGGATTTTCATTCGATTCATTCAGTTCCTCAAAATGTGAGACTACGTCTCGACTATCTTCGTGGTTAATTTTATCGTATCACAGAAATTTTCTTCTATCGTTTTTCGATCATACAGTTCTTTTTCTATTATTAATTTATTTAATATATGTATTCTTTTTATTAAATATTATTGTAGATCACTATGTCTTATACTAACACTTTAATGCTTTGAATCACAGATAGAAGTTATTTTTCATCATTAACACATATTTGTATATATATATTCGTTTCAGTTTTCAGAATTTGCAACTTGCTTATTTTAATATTTTTATTTAGAGAGTTTAATTGGCATTTTAATTGGCGAATTAATGACGTTATATTATTAATTTTATAAAACTTTAAGTTTTATATTTTTATCTCACTAATTCTCGTTATAATTCGCGTTTTTATTTATTTCCAAGTTTTGATATATAATCGAAAAAGACTTGTCCACGATATTGTTCGATTGCTTCAACAATTGGTAAATAATTGTCCTCAAGCTTTATAAAAATCACTAGTTATTGACAGTTGGATTAATGGTATATATTTTAAATAAGTTTTCAAAGTTTTTTTCGCGACAAATCGATTGTAATTTATGCCGATATCGTCGGCAAATATCCGCTTGTTTTTATACAAGACCACTCACGGTTAAATTAGCAAGTGTCTCTCTTATAATTTTTTTTCTTATACAAAATACTGAAATATTCACTCAAGTTTGTCTTCTCGAAGGTAAACGAATTAAATGTCACGCTAGTCGCTTAATCTTTACACTTGCAATATCCTCACATTTCCTTCACGGAAACGATCGATCTCGATCGATTGACGCTTAATTTGGACTCGCAAAAAAATTCCTTTCCTTTTCTTTTGCTTCCAAGACGCGCACTTATTCCATTGGGATCGCGATAACGACGATTATGTTTTCCGAACGGATTAATAAGCGATGAGGATCACGCGTTGTGTGCCGGATCGGCGTGATTCGCGAGCGGGACCACCGCCGGAGTCGCCCCGAGCCGACTTACACGTGCAGTAACTGCGTTGATTCGCGATGGACTACCGGCACGCGACTAAAGCCGACCGCGCCGCGCCGATCGAGCCGTCACTTGCGCCGGGCGGGCGTTCAGGATGACGCGGTGGGAGAGCAGCGCCGGATCAACCCTTTGTCTTCCAAGATATTTCTGTATGCATAATAATTATAATCTTGTACAACAATTATCGTCTGACGTATCTCGGTAAGGTAGAATGAATTTTATTTTTGCTTGGAACATAAAAAGAATATAAAATCCGTATCTTTCATTCATCACGTCCCAAAGCAGTTTCTCCCTGAGAAATTTCTTCTCCGATTGTTTCCGTCCCGTTTAACATTAAAATTATTCAATGTATCAATTGCTAATCATACGTTCGAATCCTCGATCGATATGTTATATTTTCATTAATGCCGATTTGATTTTTCCTTAATTAAAACATTAGAGTTCGAAACGACAGTTCTCTGACGTCGCTCGCAAACCGAGCCCATGCATGTGGCAGAGAGGGAAAAAAAAGAAGGATGGCCGGAAGAGTGCGAGCGTCTGGCCGGGAAAGTGAATAATCGCGTCGATCGCGTCCGAGCCGTTAGACTCGACTTTCGTTCATCCCAGGAATTTGTGCTGCTGATTCGATTACTGATAAGGCGAAATAAGGCGAGCAGCCTGCGAAACGGTACCGCACGGTTGTAGATAAAGAGATACCGCTTCTTGCTAGATCGATTTCCGGCGAACGGAGGCCGGAGCCGTTCTTCGGCAGAATTGAAATCCTCGGTCTACAAAATGTTGAAATCGGGTAAAAGCGAATTAATTCTCGTTCCACATTTAGCACGTGATTTTACGTGATTGCTGGCTCGTTGATAACATCTCCGAGGGAGCTCCTTCTGTATTAAATACGTTAAATGTAGGACACAAATACGGATCACAACGTGGTCACAATAATGTATATGAGGGATATAATGTAAGTATGTCAAGTATGTGGTAACACTGTTAAGTTAAATATTCAATAATGCAATAAAATTCTTTGAAATACTTGGTGCTCTTATATTACGGATAAGATCTTGGATAAGATTATAGAATTAATAAAATGAAAAACACCTTTTCTTTTCACAAAAGTTGCTTCGTAGAAATTGATATAATAGAGAGAGGCGATTATCTTATATCTTGATAATGTTTCTTCGCAAACGTGTTAATTCATAATTGGAATATCTTGCTACTCGAATTGTTTTAATTTCCCCGACGATAAAACCGCGAGAAAATTTATAAACTTATGACGTTATTAGACCGGAAAAAGTGGAAGTTTCATCCGCGGAAAATTTATCTGCGTTCAACACAAAATCATTCAGCGCTCCGTGCAAAATCATCCAGGTGTACTATAAATATTTCTCTCACGTTCGATTAAGTCTTACGTCCATTAAACGGGATGCTTAAATTGTGATAATGACGTATATCCTTATAATGTCGCAATAATCTCCAATCATAGCGCGCGTATCCTTCGTTAAGGCACATATTAATAACTCGTATTCGAAGCTATAAATAGTTTTCTATCCCTTAGCTGAGCTCAATATAAGCGATTCTTAGTAAATTTCATAAAACAAAATCAATTAATGTATTTATTATGATTATTGATATTATTGATATTACTTGTATGATACTGTGTGATTAGAAATAAATTTGTATTTGTGTTTCCTCAATTTTTAATTTTTCGTTATGAAAAAATTGACTTTAAGTCGCTTGAAACGAAATCGTAAATGAGAGAAAGTAAATGCAACGTGGTATAAAAAATTGGATGTCCGATTCTCGCATTCCTGCGTCGAGTGAAACAAAACGCGTCGATATCGCATACGTTAAACGAAGCAGGTTAGAGTATTCAGGCTATATTTAGCCGCTGTAAGGAGATAACATCGTTATAACACACAAATAAGCGGCACACGTGAGCAATACCCGTGTCTGTGCGCGCGGGGAGAGGAAGGGGAAGAGATATGATAACGAAGAAACACGGAGGGCACGTGGCGATCCTTACGAAAACATTCAAATTTGTCAAAACATTAATATATCTACCGTAAATTCCACATTGCGCCTGAGAACAAATTAAATTTCGATAAGAAAACTGAAAAGGCTGTTTCTGAAAACTGATAAGAAGTTCCTGGCACGTGTGAAAATTGTTATCGTTTTAATAATTAATAATTTTCCCATTTTATCAATAGCAATACAGTCGAACCTCGATAATTCGAACCTCTACAACTCGAAAACTACTTGAATTTTTTCCTTTAACAGTCATTGTAAGCGGAAAATTATAAACTTCATATTTAACTCTCTTTTACTCGAACTTGGATAAGGCGAAATCTCTATAACTCGAAGATTTTTATAGCTCTTCCCTTGAGATTCGAGTTATCAAGGTTCGACTGTAATAATTAATATTTTCGTTGAATTTGTTCATTATTTACAGAAAAAAATTATTGTTCCTTTTATTCGATTTTCCTCGCTAATTTTATCTCCGACAAATAAAGTACTAAAGACGACAAATATATAAAATATTTTATATAATTACAGGATGTAAAACTTTTCAATAACTCTTAATCTATATTAAATAATCGTATCTCATATTTGCTCAAATATCGAACGGTGACATCGAATAAAAACGCGCGAGAAATAAATTCGATGAAATGATTAGTGTTGAAAAAAAACGAGCGCAAAAACTCGATTCCGAGTGTCGATTAGTTATATCGCGGATAATGTTTGAAGTAGCTGCCATCTCTTTCTCTCGTCTATCTTCAGAGAGATCTGGAAATCGGCCAGCTCGATCTTAGCGACCCGCACCCGCCGTTTGATGACGACATTATTCCGGATCTAGATTAGTATAATGTGAACGAACTCGCGAATGACCGTCCTAAAAATTTCAGACGTTTCGTTCAACGACCGTTTAAAGAGAGATCCGCGGGGTATCTCAGAATTACTGGATATCTTTCTCACTGCAAATTTTTTGATCAGTAAAACCAACATTTTTTAAAATGAAAATGTCGTCGCACTCGTAATTCTTCGAGTAAATAGTAGAGGAATGTTATCATTTATCTATATACCCACAAGACGACAATGTTGAAACATGAGAAAAGTAAGAGAAAATGGAATAGACTGCGCTCGTTAAACGGCTCTTGCGTCAGATCTTCGTCTTCGACGTCGTCGGTCAAAGAGTGTATCGGTAAGTAACGAGAATAACCGTATACAAATGTTGCACGATCTATTTATATCGCCGATCAGCTGCGCAAATTGGTCATAACTCAATTGCCAGATCGGCTGCGTGTCGATCAAACTTCGTTGCGCAAAAACAGGCATTACAATGTAAATCTCTTTTGGCAATATCTGGACGATTATCTGTTTTCAACATTTTGTAATTAATGCATTAAATAAACTTTTGTATTAAATTATATATTTTTTCGTTTGTGTTGCATATTTTCTTTTATTTTCTCGTTTGCTTTACATTTCTAAATAAAATGTGTGTATTTAAATAAATTATTTTCGATATGTTTGGGGTATCGATATTTTGCTTTTTTTTTTCGGACGCAGTTATATATCTTTTTATATCAATCCATTATTTTTTAAATTCATTCTGATGATATTTTACATAAAAAATAAAATACAAAAACAATAAAAAAATGTGAGACGGTAAATTGTAGATCACCGTTAAATATTATACTAATTACAATAAGTAACGTACTTCAAAAATTAGAAAAGAGAGAGAGAGAGAGAGAGAGAGAGAGAGAAGAAGAAGAAGAAAAAGAAGAGAGTACTACATGAGACAAAAAGCAAATTACTTAAAATTTTACTTCATACAATATATTTCAAGGTCGAGATATAAAAAATAAAAAATCCTATTAAAAAAAAAGATATCAATAATATTGGTATTTTATAAAACAAAGTATACCTTAAAAAATTTATGTGCAGTATATTTCACCGTTAAAACTAAAATTTTCGTTCAAAAATGTATCGTTCTCGATGTATTTAAAAGCCCAGATAGTTTTTCCTCCTGCTATATATATACATATATAGGAAAAAGCGGGTGATTAATTGTAAAGATATTCCCAAGGAAGAACATATGAGCGGCGTATACAGGATATGCGGTTTAACACACTGACCCTGACAGCGTAAATTATCGATTGCAACGGAGATATATCGCGGCAATTCCGCGGTTATGCATGCCCTTCAATAGCAGATTATTATTAAACGCGTTTCTGAGAGCGGAAATTAAAAGGACGTGGCATCCTTCGACCGTGGAGTTTTCTTATTCATCTGAAACGGCGGAGAGAATCTCCATTCTCTCGCGATTTTATAACGGTTTGCGATAGCGGTACTACTAAAACAGCTTCTACTCGAATTCGAGTAAAATATACCTGAGACGAAATGAAGCACGCAAGTTCATGTTGTGTCTTCGTATATCTAATTTTACTTTTGCGTTTGTAAAAATTAATCTTCGATCATGAAAACATAGTCCGAGAACCGTCGTCGCCTTTAGATAAGATTGAGACCAACAGGAAGTTCCGAGATATTTTGCAGACCGCGATTACATCACGGCAAACTGTGCGCTACGCGCACAGTTTTTTGTTGAAACGCACATCAACGTCAACGGAAATAATTTTGACGCAAGATGCGGCAATGAGACGACGCGACACGCGTACGTGGCATCTGACTTTTCGTTCACATTATGCATGCACAACGACGCGACGGGTCACGGAAATTGCTTAGCAATGTATTTAGCCGCATTCATTTTAAGACGCAATTTTACTTCGTCACGCAATGCGTATAACGTCGTATAGTGCGTCTTTCTTCGAAAAAATAAATGTGTTAAGATAAAAAAAACGATATAATATATTAAAATTAGTAGTAATTTTGTATATTATATCGGTTTTTTATCTTAACTTATTTTAATTAATTAGTAGTAATTTTAATATATTATATCGTTTTTTTTATCTTAACACATTTATTTTTTCGAAGAAAGACGCACTATACGACGTTATACGCATTGCATAACGAAGTAAAATTGCGT